CCCCTTCCCCTTCCCCTTCCCTAGTGGATCCTGATGCCTTGGTAGCAGAACAGCAGGCGAGCACCATTTTCCAGGTGGATCAAGGCAAGAAAACTATTGATATCTACTGGCTGTTTGATGACGGAGGTAATGTTGGCTCCCTCTTCCCATGTAGGGCTCAAGGAAGGAAGGAAGGAAGTTTTTGTGCTGCTAAATGGACTCTGTTCCTTTTTGTCTGAGTTTTACGGCATTCTCTTGGCTCTGGAGGTCTTAGCAGGGATTCCAAAGGGTTGGAGGTGGACCCAGGCAATGTTTTGGGTCACCCAGCCGTAGCCTCTTAAGTAGAGCTTTTCCTGTGCAACGGGATTCAGGAAGGGATGGTTCCATCCACTCTTCTCAAATCCAGGGTTGCTACAACTAGCACCCGAATCCTTGTTCTTAGCCATTTTTGGTTCTCATGTAGGAATGTGATGGGACAGGCTAAGATTCTACTGCTGCACCCAAAAATTCTTTCACATTTTTTCAACCCATCTCATTCAAAGGGGGAAGTTCCCCCTTTTCCTCCCAAAGAAAAACATTTTGATGACATTTTTATAGCTATGGATTAAGTCTTCCAAAAAGGCATTTTCTGGACCTCAGAAGCCAGCCCTTTATTAGTTCATTCATTAATGATCATGGTATCTCCCCTGCCAGGGAAATAAGCACTATGAGTCTCTGATTCAGATTTGCAAACAGACCCTAGTTAATGGCCACTCTAATGGAATATCAAATACAGTAATCAGTATACATGCCAGAAAGCAAAAAGAGATATTGGGGTTACTTTTAGGGGTTATAGACAAGACTCTATAAGTACCCCTTATTCAATAGTATTGCTCCGGAAGCAACAATACAAGGCCGTAATCTCTACCAAGAAGAAACAGGCTGCTCATAGAGTGTGAACACAACCCACCCATTCATTCATTTGGTGTCCTCTCACCAAGCAACTCTGAGCAGTTAGCAGAAGATTAAACACATCAAATTATATAAAGAATGGTTAAAAGGAAAACAGACACAGTGCCAGGAATGGTAACTTACATACCCAATTCTAAGTCTGGCTCAGGTGTCATCCTGGCCCAGCACCTGAAGGAAGAACCAGATACTCAGGGCTTCCTGAAGGCCAGTGGGAGGGCTGTTCCACAGGGGCGGTGGCAGAGATGGCATGCCTCCTGGGTCCCATCAGGTGACTTGGTTTAATAGATGGGACCTGGCTCACACCAACCCTGTCCAATCTTGTTGGATGGGCAGAGATATTTGGAGACAGACCGACTTGCGGGTATCCAGGTCTTGTACAATACAGCTTTGGCTTCTTCACTTTGGATGTAGGATGTAGTGCAAAGAATATGAAAAATAGCCTATCCCTTTTCCCAATGCTTCTATTCTCCTCAATGCACACCCAGCTATTTCCTTGCCAATGGCTGGGTTCAACAATAAAGGTAATCCATGGTTTGCCGGATAAATCATAATTGCCTGGATTGATGCAATGCGCTAAGCTAAAAACTCAAAGCTCACATTACAGTGCACTGACTTGTGTGTCATCTAGCAAGAATGTCTCTGTTTTGCTTGTAAGACATGTTTGGACTAGGTTCACAAGTGTTCAGTTTATTCATTGAATTATGCCATGGGGGGGGG